TGACAGGTCATCATCTTTATAGGGGTGTTTTAAGAGTTTTGTATTAATGAAGAGTTATAGCATCTTTTGTTTAGGAGGCATGAAACCTATTTTCTTTTGTTGGTGCATGTGTTTCTTAAGAAAAGCGGTTTTTTAATGACATTGAAAATGTCATTTCAAAGACTGCAATCAAAGTTTGGAAAGCTAAAATGGAGTATGCCTCTGTTCCCAGGATAACTTCCCTTCGTTTGACAATCCTATTCTTGAGTGTTCTGACATTATAGGCAAGGCTTTTTTTCTTTATTTCAAAAGAAAAATTATTACAGTTTCAGCCTTGTACCCAGTCGTGTTTCAACATGAGCCAAAATTCCAAAACTTCGGATGCTACAAAGGTTAGTGTGTTGGATTCCGAGAATGTTAAGAGTGTTGATTCGACGAAGGTAGAGTCTAAAGTTGGGACATTTGATGCCTCATCTACTAGAGCATCTAGGAAAAGGAAGGCATCTATGACTATAATGAGGCCCTTCAAGAAAAACCATGACTCTGATGAGGATGGTGATGAAGATTGGGTTAATTTCATTAACTTAGGAGGTTGGAGTAGTTTTTCGGCTCCATATTTGCAGTTTTCTTGTGGTTTGTTTTTTTGTTTTATTTTTTTATTTTTGTGTTGTAATAATTCCTTAACAATATTTGTGTTCCATATGGTGTTTTGTGGTTGCCTCCATTAGTACTGTTTGTAGCCATAGCTACTTTTTGTTTCCGTTTATGTTTGTTTACATTTACTCTGTTGTCTTTTTATTAATTTTTTGCTAAAAAGGGGGAGTAAAGTGTTAGGTCATGTGTTGTTTCTGATGTTGGATCAGATGTCATGACTTCATGTCATGTGTTTACTACTGCTTAAGATGAGCAGTTTTCTTTGTTATTGCTGGAAATGTGCAACAATTTAGGGGGAGCATGATAATCTGTCATGTTAAGGTTATGATTGAGGTTGTGGATAACCTTGGATGCTCTATGGTAATTTGCTACTCTGATATTCTGAGTAATATGTGTGGCTTCTGTTGTATGTGTTTCTAATATGTCTGGCTTCTGTTGTATGCATTTCTAATGCATGAAATTGGATAGTTCATGCTTATTTGTCTTGTGCTTTGGGTTTTCCCCTTCAGAGGGATGTGTGAACTGAGGCAGTTGAGGTTTGGATGTTAGTTGATTTGGGTTTTCCCCTTTAGGGGGAGTATTAGTTATCTGTGACAAAGGAAGAAATGGACCTGTCTGAGGTTACTGAGCTGTGATGTTAGACCACATATCTTGACATCTGATCACTGGAGCTTTTTGGAGGTTGAGTGAGTTGTAACCTCTAATGGCCTGTAGCTGCACTTTATCTCTAGGATTGTGACTGATTAGGAAGTGGCAAGGGGATCTCATATCTAGAGGATTTCTAGGTAGAAGTTGCACAAGGTAGTGATTAGGCGAGAAGTTGTAAATGGGCGAGTCTATATTTAAACTAATGTTATCATAGTGAATTTCCTTTCTGGCTGGGATGCCCCCAGATGTAGGTGATGTTGCACCGAACCGGGTTACCAATTGACTGTGTTATTTATTTTTCTGCAATTTATTTTTCAGTCTGGTTTATTTGTTCTGTCAGACAAATGATGTTGTAACATATGTATTGACATTATGTTCTAATGTTAGAACATCAGTATTAACATGTGATAGAGTGTCTGAATTTCAAATAAGTTGAAAAGGTCTAAAGTTAATAACCTGACCTTTTGGAAGAACTAACACACCTAGATTTAAGAAAATTTAGGCACCAAAAGTTAAACTCAAGTATGTTTTGCAGGGATGTAGTCCATAACATTAACACGTGTTAAATGAAGTTGTGCAAAGCAAAGTTACACTATCGAGTACACTAGAAATGTGTGAATTTAAAGTCTCTGATCCAGAAATGATTGTGAATATCAATGATGGTGATCAAAGCAAAGTTTTCCCATTGAGGTTATCCCAACATCTCTGATCCTCAATGATCAACTGACCTCATAGTAGGTTAGTAGATATGTGATGGACATATCTATCTCGTTTAAACCAACACTTACACCCAATGATAAGTAGAGAAGGATATGCCATGATGTGTTGGTGTTCCTATTAAAGAAACAAGTTTTTCAAGTTTCTTGAAAATTGAGGTAGAACATTATTTTAAAGGTGAAATGATCATAAAACTCCAACTAATCCCTTAAAATAATGGATTTAATTTTAATCATCAACATAAAATTAATATAAAAAATTAGTTTTGTAGTCTTTCATAGAAAATAGGTGTGAATAAAGCTAGACAGAGGTGTAAAACCAAAAGAAAATCCAGCACAAGACTCAAAGAGCATCAAAGAGGCTAACTGGCGTAAGCCAAGACGGTTGGTACTTTGAGGCAATTGATTGGACAAACTTGACACACATTTTTTCAAATAAAATCCAAGGTAAATGTAGTCTTCAAGGAAATCAGATCCTCGCATTGATAGAAATCGCTTAATATCTTTGAAAAGGTTGCCATCACTCTGGGACACATCACAATCAATTTCATGAAGACTAAAGGTAGCCGACTAAATAATGTTATCATCATCCAAAAGAGAACAGAAGACTACACCATCCAGACAAGGTCTATCAACATTTGATTCTTTGAAGATCTCAATGAAATGATTCACTACCTCTTATCTAATTTCGGACACCCCATATATTCGGCCATCTCCAACCTTAAGAGATAAGATAACAATCCTTCTACCTCTAATCTTAATAGACACAGGAAAGTAACTAGAGTTAGTATCTCTCTCCTTAAGCCATTTATACTTGATCTTTAAAACAATTGGAAATATTTAATCCTCAACAATGACCATAAATCCACAATTACTCTAGATATAAACTAAATCTCTTCAATAGATAAGAATCTAAGATCAGTCAAAGAATCCACTTTACTCATCTCCTCTTTATATTTATCTATCTGAGAGTCAAGATTACAGAACATTTATTTACTTGAAAATTTACTTTTAACTTCTCTATCCTAACAAAAACTTTTCAACTAAGAATCTCAATACGAGTTCAGTATGAGACCGCTAGTTCAAGAAGACTTACTATGAGAAAACCATTTATTACTGAGTCTAAAAGGTTTCCGAACTCACATTTTATTCACTTATTTAAGTAAAATATGATTGTACCTTAAGCTAATCCTGAAATTTGTATCAATGCAATCTTTTTCTGTCAAACTATGTTACAACAATATTAAGGGTCATAATTTGCAACTGTTAGGTTATGACAGTTTGAATTCAATGTGGAGGACGTTGTGGAAGAGGAAGGTACCCTATAAGGGAAAGATCTTTTGCTGGAGATTATTACACAATAGGCTTCCTACTAGACAACAACTGCTTAAAAGAAGTATCGCCCAAGATGCAAATTTGGCCAATTATGCATTTTGCAAAGCTGGTGTAGAAACTATTGATCATTTGTTGATCCATGCCCTATCACAAAGTTGGTTTGAAATTATGAATTATGTTTGGGAATGGATTAGTATGCCTATGTCAATTTCGCATGACTGTATCATGAATTTTAAACTTGTGATGACAACTTTGAAAGGGAAGGTAGGAAAACATTGTGAAGAATTTTTGTGGATGATTTTATGTTGGTGCATTTAAAATAATGGAAATACTGTGATTTTCAAAGAAGATAGTTGTGATGCTAGGGATATTAAATTTTACATCAAAATGCATCTCTTGTCTTTAGCTTGGTGTTCTCAAAAATATTATTGTTGTAACTTTTTTGAATGGTGCAAGGCACCACTTGATTGTCTTTTGTAACTTTTCTTTGATCATTGTTGGTTTGTGGTTAGATTCACACCACTTTGAAATCTTGTTGGTTGCTTTTGTATATTATGAAGAATTGAGTACCTCTTATACTCACTTCAATAAACATTTGTTGATATAAAAAAAGAAACTATAGAAAGGACATTGAGTTACCTCACCCAATTGGGTTATGAATAGGTTTCTAAAAATCGTTCATCATATCTTTATATTTAAACTTAAGACATTATCACACTCAAATATTTTCTTTAACGCGGTTAGAAACCATGATCAACTCTATATGTAGAATTCTAGCTCGAAACTGCTCAAATTTTCCCTATTAAAGAAAGATCAAGATTGATATCAAGCTTTAGTAGTAGAGGCAAGTGCCTCGTGTCTAGACAGATCACATAATTAATGATTATAATTACTCAATCTTGTTTCCTTCCAATTATTATCACGGAAACAGGATATACATTATCTATTATGTCGATAATGGAGAAAATACAACGGTCAATTTCTCTACCAACAACATCATCTTTCTTAATCACATCCCTTTCATTTCCACTGTTATTATAAATTAAGTGACAAAAATAGCTTCAAAATATCATCATATATATCCATTATACCTTTCTAATTTCATTAATCAACATTAACAAAAATTTCAAAAATATATATATATATTTCAAAAAACACCATCCACAAACCAAATATGTTATATTATATTTATTATATAACAATTCATAGTACCTTCCAAAAAAATTAATAATGCACAGTTGATTCAGAACAAAACATGCAAGTAGGACAGACACAAACAAAAGAAAAAACATTGAAAAAATATTAATTTCTCTTTCACTTAAGTTGTGGTTGAGAGAGATTCAAGCTGGTTTCTTCTTCCAAACACTCCCTTGCCGCTTCCTAAAAGGGCAACATTAACATTTTCAAAACCTATTAAGAACAATAGTTCTTCCTCTTTTTTTCACAACAAAAAAAAACATATTTTGGTGCAAAATATTTCTCAGTTTTTAGAGAAGAATCTTCATGCACTAGCTTGCATGTAAGTGTTTCTTTATTATATAGTTTATAATAGTTTATAACAATTTATACTATATAACTATTTTTTTTTATTATTTTATAAGGTTTTTGAATTATCTTTTGTGCTTATAGAGTGTGGAAATTAACCTGAGAAGTAGCCAATTAGGACTCATGCTTGCTGTATCACCATTGATGAGTACAAGAGATGAGAGCCAAAGAGAGATGGAGGAGAGTTTATCGATTGAAACATGTGATTTTGCTGATCTTTCTGAAGGGACTTTATTGGAAAGCATCAATTTCGAATTTGACGATGATTTCTTCGTGTGCTTCGACGATGGAGATGTGTTACCGGATCTTGAGATGGACCCGGAAATGCTTGCTGAGTTCTCGCTCAGCGGCGGGGAGGAATCGGAGATGAATTCATCGATAACGGTTGTGGATAATAACAAGTTTTGTGAAGATGGGAATATAGTTTGTGTTGAGAAAAAATTTGAAGAGGAAGAGAAAGCAGGTTCTTCTTCGGATTCAGGTTCGAGCCTTGGGGAGGAGATTGTTAGCAGAAGAGATGAGTCTGTGGTGGTGAATCCAGTGAGTAAGGAAAGTGAGAAAGGAAGAAAATCATCATCAAAAAATAATCATCAAGGGAAGAGAAAAGTGAAGGTGAGTTGCTATATATTTCTATTTCTTAGTTCATTACATTCCCTACATGTTACATGCTTTCGCAGCTGTTTTTGCGGTAACAGGCCGATTTTTATGAATCAGGTGGATTGGACCCCCGAATTGCACAGAAGATTTGTACAAGCAGTAGAGCAGCTAGGTGTGGATAAGGCTGTACCTTCAAGAATTTTAGAAATCATGGGAATTGATTGCCTTACTCGCCACAACATCGCAAGCCACCTTCAAGTATTGATTTTTCATTCTCTTTTTCAAGCTCAAATAGTAAAAAAATTGTGATAGATTTGAAAAAAGAGAGAAGAATATAATGTAATGAATGTGAATTGCAGAAATATCGATCTCATAGGAAACATTTGCTAGCGCGTGAAGCTGAAGCCGCGAGCTGGACTCAGCGGAGGCAATTGTCTTGCAAGAGAGATGTGAACCATTGGGTTGCACCAACCATGGGTTTTCCGCCTATGACTCCACCGGTGCACCATTTTAGACCTTTCCATGTATGGGGGCACCATCCCATGGATCAGTCCTTTATGCAGATGTGGCCTAGCTATTCGACACACCATCCACCACCTAATTGGGTGCCTCCACGGCCGGCTCCGCCTCCTAACCCTTCGTATTGGCACCAACGGGTAAGTACTTTATTCGCACCTTGAATATAATTCATAGTTTTTAGTAACCTAAATACATGTGGATCTATCAATTGTCTTCTTCTTTGAGGAGGAGCAATGTTCCCGAAAATTAATACTCTGACATCTAAGTTAGTGATAATTATAAGATATTTAGGTTAGAATTATGTGAAAATTAAACAAACACAATCGTTAGCTCTTTATATCAGGCCCTCTAGGGTTTGAAGAGTTTGTCCAAACCAATACACATATTGATCTTGATGCATGATAAAAAAAGTTGTAAAAGATACCAGTCATGCTAGTGCTTGTAACCTATAGTAAAAATTTAGATTCATATTGTGTATTGTATCTATAGTTAAAATGATCCTCCTAAAATTTAAAATTTTAAAACCACAAATTTCAATATTCTTTAGATGATATGAAAAATCTTAAATTAGCTGTTTTTCAAAGTTGTATTTTAAATATCTCTTAATCTTTATTCACTCGACCATACCCATAATTGGAACAAATATTTTATCATTATTCACTCTACAATAACCCTAATTGCAACTTTTGCAATTGTAATTTAAAAATATTGTGACATTTTAGGGGAAAATTAAACATAGTTTCTGATATTTTTTTGTTGAGATGTTATATTTCATTAGGGGAAAAAAGGAGACAAGTTAATCTTAATTACTTAAACATTATAGAAAACGACCATTCATCTTTCTTTTTGTTTTTTGTTCTCTTCTAATTAGGTATATGTTGATATTCCTTTATTTTATGCAGGCTCAGAATACACCAACCGCAGGAACACCGTGCTTTCCACAACCTCTGACAACAACGGTAACAATTCACGTTACTCTTTTGGATCCAGCTATGTTGTCTTCTCCTTACAACTTTGGATTCTTATGTCAATTACTTACTCCATATATTTTCATATTTATTACTCACAAAAGCCATGCATTACTTTAACTTACTCATAGTCCTATTATTCAGAAAATAAACTAATAATCAAATACAATAAATTGTAGAGATTTGCCTCTCCAACTGTTCCGGGCATTCCTCCACCACACGCCATGTACCAAGTAGATCCCGCCATAGCCGTCCCCGCCGCTCAACCATCTCCTCCGCCACACTTAGACTTCCATCCGGTAAATTTACTTCCATACCCCCCTCTCTCTCTCTCTCTCTCACTCTCATGTCATTATCGTACTTGTCTTTTTATCTAACTTACTCTCTTTCTCAAAACACACTGCATGCATATCACAACTCATTATTGTTCGTCCGTGACTATAAATACAACCTTTCGTTTGTATTTTTCGCATCTTCCTCACCAACAGTTACTTTCATGTTTTATAATAACTTCCTCGAAAAGAATAACTGACATTGAACGGTTAACCTAACTGTGTATTAACGTGCTTGTGTTTTTGTTTGAACAGTCAAAGGAGAGCATAGACGCAGCTATTAGTGATGTATTATCAAAACCATATTTACCATTGCCTCTTGGTCTTAAAGCTCCTGCAATTGAAGGTGTGATGGGTGAGTTACAGCGACAAGGGATTCCGAAAATTCCACCCTCTTGTGCTTGAATGAGAGAGAATGGTTTTGGTTCTTATGCCATGAAACCCTAATTCGACGAATTTTCATATTCTCACTTTTTTTTTTGTTTGAACAAAAAGTGTGAGGGACAATAATATTAAGAACTTTCTTTGTTCATATGATATATCTAAGCAGCGCAAAAAGTTTAACTCGAGCTTTTGGTATAATAGTATTTAACCTAATGCCAAATGTGTGTGGGATTATAAGGCTGTGATTTTTGTGTTGTTCGAGTAAGATGTTTTTATGTATGAAACTAAATATGTGAGGAAATATCAAATAAAGTGATACTTTTTAGTGTAAAAATTGTTATTTTAACATCAAAATGATCCTACCAATATGTTACTCTTCACAAATATGAAGGATGGTGGCATTTAAATTTTGAATTTTCAACATATTTATTTCTCTTTCTCGAATAATTTTGGTTAATATCATTTACAAAGTTAGTTAATACAATTTATAGTTTAGTTAATAGGTGTATTTTAAAAAAGTAATTTGAAGTGTAAAAATAAATTTAGTTAATTGAGTGTAAAAAATATTAATATAGTTTATAATTTGGTTATTGATTGATTCCTTCTTTCTGAGTCGTTAGTCGACAGATGGGGAGTGGTGAACCAAGTTGTTGGAAAAAGAGACATTTCGGACCATGTCCAAATCGGATTGTGTCGAACTTTACGAACTAGGGCCCTAAACCCTTTAGAGTCTTTGAGTGTTCGTTTGAAAACAATGACTTCTTGCCTTTTGTTAAAGATTGTTGGTTAAACCTTAAGGTGTCTGGGCGGTGTGATTTCGTCTTAAAAAAGAAATTGAAATTTTTGAAGGAGAGTCTGAAAAAGTGGAATAATGAAGTCTTCGGCAAATTGGACTTAGAGATAAAGGATTGTGTTGCTGGGGTGAATAGGTTGGATGTGTCTTTAGCTGGAAGTGGTTCTGTTGAATTGAGGAGTATTCTGACAGAAGAAGAGTCGTTGCTGCAAGTTTTTAGAAAAAGCTCTTTTTGAAGGAAAATCTTCTTGTGCAGAAATCCAGGCTGAAGTGGAGGAATGATGGAGATCGTAACAGCAAATTCTTCCATGTTGTTATTAAATATAGGAAGAGAAGATAGTTTATCGGAAAATTTGTAAAGGAGGATGGTGTTTATTGTGAATTTTGATAAACAACCGCTGGTCTATCAATTTTAAGGTGAATTGACTAACTTGCAGGATCGACCATACTAAATCCTAGAACATGTGCTAAGCGTGTGCCAAGTGGCCCTAATCGAAACTTCACATTCGACTATGAAAGCTAGAAGGTTTTGACAATAAAGACAAGAATGTAAAGGGCGAAAGATTATAACCAAACTCCATGTTCGACTACAAACTCTTTGTAAAGTAAAAGGTGCTCGAATATAAATGTGCAAGAAAGTAAATTGCTCTGAAAACAACTTTAATCTGAACTCCACGTTCGACTAGGGGATCTTTAAGTAAAAGGCTGTAAAGTAAATGACTTTGAAATTAAACGTGCGAAAGATTCAAACGGAAACTCCACGTTCGACTTTGAAGTCTTTTAGAGGTTAAATAACGAGAAGATAAAGGACTTTGAAAATGATTGGGAAAAGGATTAAAGGTGCAGGAAAAGTAAATGGCTTTGAATTAACAATTGGAATGTAAAGGCGAAAAAAGACTACTATCAAACTCCACGTTTGACGTACTTCCTTTGAAAATTTAAATGACTTTTGAGAATAAAGATGCAAGTAAGTAAATTGCTTGAAAAATAACTCTAATCAGAACTCCACGTTGGACTAGGGGGTCTTTGCAATGTAAATGGGCAGAAAAGTGTAAAGGGCAGTTTTGAAGATAAAGACTGAAAGTTAAAAATGGCAAGTGAATTGTAGAGACAAATTGCATTGATAAGAAAGGGTTTGGTGTTGTATCACGTACATTCTCGTTAACTCGTTTCTCTACAGGCGGATACTTTGAGTTGTATGAACTAGTACAATAATGAATGAACACCCCTATTACATAAAATTTACACCTATTTATAGTCCTATAAAATAAATACTACATGGCGGTTGAGACTTCCTAGCCCACTCTTTTGGTGCTTCTTTATTCTTCTAACCGCTCACACGTTCTTTTCTACTTGATTTGAATTTTGAATATTTTGCACTTCCCTCCAATTTGGCGAAACTGTCTCCTTGCTCTCCTTAGCATAGTCTTCGTCGAGCATTTTCCAACACTTAGCGTTTTTTGGCCCCTCGTTCATCTTTCTTTGACTTGCCATTTTCCTTGATTGGGTCGAAACCCTTTCATATACCAAGTATTGATATTTTTTTACCTAAGATAGCTCTGGTCTCGACTGGCGTCGAAAATTAGGAGCCAACAGATGGCAGTGTGGTTGAAGGAGTTAAGGGCGTCAAGGAAGGTATTAGAAACTTCTTTAAGTCGATTTTTTCAGAACCTGATTTTAATAGACCAATTTTACAAGATGTTTTTGTTCGGACTCTTTCTGAGGATCAACATAGGGGGCTTGAACCACCCTTTTCTGATATTGAGATTAAGGTAGCTGTGTGGAATTGTGAAGTTTCTAAGAGTCCGGGTCCGGACGAATATAATTTTTTCTTCATTAGAAAGTGTTGGGATTTCATGAAAGTGGATATTTTACGTTTTGTTAAAGATTTGCATGGGTGTCCTAGACTTAGCAAAGTTTTTTCTTTCGCTTTTCTTGCTCTTATCCCGAAGTCGTCGAACCTTTAAGGTCTTTCAGAGTTTAGGCCAATTTGTTTGGTGTGGTGTATGAAAAAAATCATTTCAAAAGTTTTAGCTGGAAGGCTGAAAAAGGTCTCGTGTTTCCTTATTTCTCCTTGCCAAACTGCTTTCGTGCCTGGTAGGTTTCTGTTAGATGGAGTTCTTGCAGCTAATGAAATACTGGATATTACAACTCGCGATAGGCGGAGATGTATGTTGTTCAAGTCGGATTTTGAAAAAGCATATGACAGAGTAAGTTGGAAGTATTTGAGATTTATTTTGAAGAAGATGGGGTTCGGAGATCGTTGGATGTACTGGATGAAACCATGTGTTTTCAAGTGTTTTCTATCGATTTTAGTCAACGGAAGCCCAACTGGTGATTTCATGGTCGAAAGAGGCCTTAGGCAAGGCAATCCGTTGTCGCCATTCTTGTTTGTTTTGGTTACTGAGGGTCTCACCAGTATGATTAGGAAGGCCATTTCTTTAGGAGATTTTTCTGGTTTTCAGGTGGCGGAGGACAAGTCAATTGAGGTTATTCAATTCGTCAACGACACGATTCTCTTTTGTGAAGATGATTGGAAGAACCTTTGGAGCATAAAAGCTATCCTTCGAGGTTTCGAATTGGTGTCTGGGTTGGGAATCAATTTTCATTAAGAGAAAAATTCATGGTATTAATCTGAACTATCACTTTGCCTTGGTCGTGGTGAACTTTCTGTCCTGCAACCTTGGAGATAGTAGTTTAAACTTCTTAGGCATTCCCATAGGCAATAATCCAAGAAGGCTCAGCTTGTGGACACCTTTAATAGAGAAGATCAGAGGGAAGTTGTTGAGTTGGAAATCACAAGTTCTCTCTAAAGGAGTTAGACTCATCTTGATTAATTATGTGCTTAAATCATTACGTATTTTTCTTATGTCCTTCTATAAAGTTCCAATTGGAGTGTGGAAAAAAATCAAAAGAATCCAAATGAAGTTCTTTTGGGGAGGATCATTTGACGCAAAGAGCACAACGTGGGTCAGTTGGAGTCAAATTTGTAGGGATAAAAAAATCAGAGGCCTTGGTGTTAGAAGAATTGAGGATTTTAAAGAAGCTCTTTTAAACAAATGGAAATGGAGGTTGTTGATGGATAGGAATGTGATATGGTATGATCTTTTGAGGTATTGTTACAGTAACTTCGAACACTCTATTTTGTCTGGTAAGGTTGTGTGAAGGCCTCGTCATCTTGGTGGTGGCGAGATTTGGTTTGTTTCAAATGGAGCCTTGGAAAACCAGCTTTCAACATTGGTGGTAATATTGAGTTTGTTGTAGGAAATGAGTGTTTCACTCCTTTTTGGAGCGCATCATGGTGTGGCAGCCCCTATAATTTTCAGTTTCCTGAGCTTTTTAATGTCAGCAATAGACAGTCTGAGATGGTGAGTAATATGGGGGTATTGGCAAGATGGTCAATGGATTTGGGGCGACCTGGGGATTTTAGCTGCTAGTTTGGAGAGATTTGAAGAAGCTCACTGTGTGGTTCATAATTTTCTTCTCCAGAAGGAAATAAAGCTAGACAGGATGGATTTGGTGAGATGGAAATATGGGAATATGCAGGATTTTTCTGTAGGAACTTGTTATGATTGTATTGTAGCCAACTTTCTCTTCCTTCTGTTATGGCGGAAAGCACGTCAAAAGCGTTGGCTGTTTTGTGGGATTTTGTTATTCTAATGAAGATTAAGGTTTTCGGTTGGCAAGTACTGTTGGATAGAGTTGCTTCTAAAGACCAATTGCATCGGAGGAATATGATTAGTTCGCTGCACGATCTTTCTTGTGTCTTTTGTTTCAGGTTCGACGAAAGTCCAATGCATTTGTTTTTTCTCTGTGATATTTCAAAACTTGTTTGGGAAGGCGTTCGTAGGTGCCTCAACATAGACATGATGGAGGGTTCTGATATTGTTGGTTTATTTTTAGACTTCAACTCTGTTTTGGGAAAGAAGGTTAAGAAATCTAAAGCATGTGTGTTTTGATGGGTGACTTTGTGAGGTATTTGGAATCATAGAAACGATATTCTTTTCAAAGATAAGCTTTGTAATGTGAGTGATATCGTACGGAATGTCAAACTCTATAGTTGGAAGTTGTCATGCCAAAGTTCAACTTTAGCTTTTTTGATTTTAGTGTTGCTCCTTTTCATTATATATCGTTATCTTTAGTTGGTTTGGCATATCTTTTGTATCAGGGTTTAAGTACCCCTTGTACTCTTTTTAATATATTTCTTTCTTATCAAAAAAAAAAGTGT